ACCCCCCCCCCCCCCCCCCGTAAAACACACCTCTCTTTGCTGCAACCGTTTGAGTTGACAGTGACAGTGAGTAGGTAAATTTTATTGTCAGATTATTAAATTATGATTGGACCATTTTCCGTTTGGACGTTTTATTTCGTGGACTTTTGAAAAGGACAAACTAACCTGCGAGTGTCTAACTCCATGGGGTGGACATATCTTTGAGAAACTGAAGGTATTTCACCCAATGAATAATTTCCTCGTCCTTTATAAAACCTGTAGCTTCACTACTGTGCTGACAGACCAAGCTGTTGTTCTCTGTCCTGAGCCGGGTAAATCCACAAGATCATTTTTAATATTATCTTTACTTGTACGCCGAATTCACAACGTGGTTTCTTCCTTTGAGGTTTTATGGCTGAGTTATTTTAACATTCTCATTTCCCTTGAACTGATCGCCCTTATAATATTTGGACTAGGCGTGTGTGTGACTTTTTCTGGCTTCAGGAAATTTAAGTCGCCTGTCAGTGGCGGATCACACATACTGGATTTTGGATCAACACTGTCTTCCACGTTAGTGATGACTGGCCCAGTTCTCCGGAGCCACTAAATTGATTTGTAATGCGGGAATGTCACTTGGTGTTCAACCAAACTTCCCACAATTACAGACAAAAATCATTAATATTTCATAGCTGTGTGGTACTGAGGTAAAATTAAGCTCTACTCGGCTTCTGAGAAAATATTAAATATTAATTCAAATTTCCTTTTTTTTCTCTGTTATTTAGTTAAACACTATGGAATTATGTTGTTAATTGAAGCAATTCTGATCTAAAGTATGGACTTCAAAATTTCCTGACATGTCTTTCTACAGTCTGTAATGTAATTAATTATGTTACAAATAGAAACTCTTCTTAACGCCACTAAACTCGCGTGCAGAGAGTAATTTAATATCTGTGCGTGCGTGAAGCAGGCGCCTGTAACCCCGCAGACCGAGAACAGGGGTTCCAAAACACGATGAAATTAGATACACAGAGTTGTAGCTCCAGTAAACTTATAATTTTGTAAAAATTGATTAGATAAATGCACGTAACATTTTAGCTGAGAAAGCTGAAGGAAAGAAACCACTCGGTAGACCAAAGCGTGAAGGTAAATTAGATGTGAAGTCCCTGTACCTAATTAACCACCACGCCATGAAGATATTTGGGTGAGGGAGGGAGGGGCGCTCTGTGTAAAATTTCAGAGTCCCCACATGCCTGATTGGGGTTGGGGGTGTCAGGGGTGTATCTGACGCTTATTTTTGTAGTGGCCAGAAATGGCTGCTTCCCCGCACTGTGCATACTGGCGATATTTGTTGCTAATACAGCACATTACACAGCAGAATGCTTTTAATAAAGATTGTTCTGGAGGTCCTATTGCCCCTGCGTGGCCGTGGTCAGGACCTCGGCTTACAGGGCCAGAGGTCTCTGGTCTGATAGGTGTCTCGCTATACGCCACGTAGGCGCTTGGGGGCAGAGTGGTGTAGCCCCTGCTCATTCTTAACCTCGTTAGGATTCTCTAATTCGGTGTAGAAATTTAGAACATCGATAAACTTGTGTACGATTTAGATTCTTGAGAATGAAGGGTGTGTAAGGTCACTTTTGGTATTAATGGTTTATGAACTCCGTTTATAAAGACATTAAGACAATCGCGTGCAGTTGAAGTGTCATGTCTTTATCGTGATCTCGATAAATACTGCACGATATTTCTGGTTTTATAAAAGTTCCTTTCGTTTGGAATTGTGTGACGTAGTTTTTGGCTGTTATGCGTATTTTATGTTCTGAAACGCGCGAATATTTTTAGTTTGTATATTCATCGACGTCAACAAAGAAAATAAAAAAAACATGCTTCATTCTATTTAAATTTTCAAAACTAGTTTCAGTACTTTCTATTTTAATATTATACTCGTATTAGTATAGAATGGTGTGGAGTGGATTTATCTGGCACCAGTGCCGATACACCAGAGTACACTATAATGAACCTTTGAAAAATAGACTGCGAATTTCTAGACAGGCTGAGCGACTGTTAGCTTCTCAGCAAGAGCTAGTGGAGAAATATACCGTTGGTTATATTTATGACTTATGCGCCTGCAGGCAATTTAGGGCAAGATTCGCAATCTAGAAATAGTTCGAAATATTACCACTACGCGGAGTATTGATTGGTTGCTGATGCTGCCATCTGTGTGCAATCAGGTTAGAGTGCAAGTAGCTTAACAGAAACTTCATAGATGGCAGAGTTGTAAAGCTCGACATTTATCGATTGGTACGTGAATGGAACCAAATGTATCGAAACGAAAAACAGGCAGGACTTTCAAAATTAAAAGAAATTTATGGTTAATTGGTGTGTACCAACAGTGGTGCGTGGTTATGTGACGAGAGGCTGAACTAAAATTTCTGCCCTTTGTCGGAACTCTGTAAAGACGACACGAATCCAAATGGTGATCTAGGTTTCTTTTGCCGCAAAGTAGTTTGGCTGTAAGTCCCCGTTTCGGGGGAACATACTGCTTCCGTCTTCAGAATTGAAATTTAATCATCATGGTTTTCCGCCTTGTATTATTTTGGGTGTATGACAGCGTATGGAGAGGACATACTACACCTTCATCCTCGAAGATGGAAGCAGTATGTCCATCTAGAATATTACATAGCAGAAGAAGCTGGTAGATCAGGATCTAGAAATCTTTGCGACTTGCCTGACTGCTTTGATTTCGTACGTTTAGCGACAAGTACCAGACTGCACATTCCAGCATCCGAGAAGGCAGTCATCTTCAGTTTGACGTATTTTAAGATGAAAAGAATCCTCTTTTATTCACAGAAATGAGTTTTGAAGAGTGTGAACATTGTGTTTCAGATGATCAACTTCGGTCCCTCGAGCGGTTTTTGTCAAGGGGGCCTGGGGGGGGAGGCATCGGCTCCCCCGGAGCGTTCGGGATGCTGGAGCGCGCAGTGCAAGTTGACGCTGCGTGTGAAGTGGACGCAGAACGCGCGCTGAACGTCGATGGCTGCTGACAGGTAAGAGAGACAGCGACGCTTAGCGTCTGTTTACATCTGGGGTCACAGTTGGAGTTGACAAGAGTTAACTAAACTGTCTGTTGCGCCTTGCGCTCCGTGTGTGATCTGCTGATGTCTCTCGCCTTGTAACTGAGACATCGAAACAGGTGTTTTCAAGTTGAGAATTCCTTACTTTTATTGTACGCATCTGTGAACAGAGGTCGTCTGGCCTGGATCACGATTTATTAAAATTTCACCGGACCTTGTCCATTATCCACATTGTTTGCACGCGGTTGACAAAATGAACGCATGATGGGGAGGGTGTCTCCGACCTTGTGCCCGCATGTTTCGTCACGTTATTTTTGTCCAGCAAAAGTACGACAAGTACAAAGGTCTTTTCGCGACTGATTTGTGACATTTCATCGTCTTCATAAATCAAGATCTTGAAGGCATGTCTGGACGCTTGCCCGTTGCAGAGAGACTTTGCCGTATTTATTATATTTACGGTCCATTCATAGAAGATATGTGTGACATTTGACCTCTTGTTGTTGGATTCTTCCTCCCAGATTAAAATTCCTTGGTTCACGGCGTATTGTGTCGTCATGTCAGCTGTATAGCCGTCAAGGCTGTGTTCGGTTACAGCGTCTTTCGTCCTTCTTCTAGAACGAATTTGCTAAATGCAGGAAGATTTGAGGTTCTCGTGGCTGTGATTCTGGGTTGTAGCGCCGTGTAGTCTGATAGAAGTTTACCGACGTTTCGGAGACCAATTCTACCTCCATCATCAGGGCGATGAATAAGTCGTAGCCCTGATGATGGCTACAGCAAGGACCTGTGAAACGTTGGTAAACGTCTACACGGCGCTACAACCCAGAAGACAGCAATCTTTCTCTAAATTAGTTAAAAGTAATTATTTTGAGCAGAGAGAATCATTTAACAGTGTGTGTATGGGTTGACCTTCAGCGCTTTGTCGAAACATCTCGCAGAGAGAGGTCTGAACTAACATTTGTTCCGGTGAGGTGCTTAACGAGACGCCACCGACTGTGCTGGCAGCTCAGTAACTAGGAACACGCTCCGATAGATTTCTGCCGTGCGGGGTCTTTGTACATTCGAATTTTACTTCTCATTAAGGGAAATGATGAAATATGAAGCGGGAATGTGACTTTTTAGTTCCGATTGTAACCACACTCAGGTGAAGGAGACAGAAAGGCTTGATCTACAATGCTGAAATTTTAATTCATTCTCTGTCTGTCACTCATATAAAACTGCCCTTGTATTAGAGTCTGTGTCGATTGAAATGGGCCTTTTCCGTTTTGTTAAACTGCAGCGTTTTTACAATTTTATTTATAAATTACAGTATATGACAAAACATCTTGACGGCGTCTAAAGCCACACCAAAGTCTCCGCCAGACCCCACCGTAGGCGCCACCATAACCTGGTTTGCATTTCTTGCTACCAGTCGATACCGTCAGAATTTAATTTCAGATTTTTCGTAACCTGTGGTGAAGCCTGAATACAAAAAAATAATTTCGTCGAGCGTAATTCTCGACAAAGTGATTTTCAAGTCGAACAAGAAATTGTCCGGTTCTAATAAAACCCGAATTTTCATTACCATATCAAATCTAAAACTTCTTGACGATGGTGAAGAGTCAATTGAATAAAAATTTACTTGGATATTATCCATCGTCTAGTAAATATAGAGCTAATCCCTATCTCCGGAGATAGGGATTAGCTCTATATTTACTAGACGATGGATAATATCCAAGTAAATTTTCATTACCATGTTCATAGGAGCCCGCCACCTGCTCGTATTGTGAGCCAGCTGCATCCAATGCACATAAAACTTCTTTGTTTAGGCTACGATTTTAATGTTTTCGTCCGAGCTTGGCCTTTGCCTTCGTGAAGTTATCAAACTATTTTCATATCTGACGTAGGCCTATCCAAATAATAATTGACGAAAAGTACAATTTATGAAGCTGCTCATCGTGTTATTTTCTCTGTCGTCTTCCAATTAGTAAAAAAATTGCCTGCTCAGCACTCGCTTGTCTCTCAATAAGTTGTGCCGAGTGCGACTGTCGCCCTTAACCCGTTACCTTAGTGACGACTCTTCTCGTCACTGCCGTGGGCACATGACCCGAGATATTTCGATGGTAACAAGTAGCTAGCTCATTACATCCGTCATTTGAACGGGCCCGCTCATATCGTGTTACTTTGACGACAAATGAGGATCTACACGCGGCTTGTCGAGGCTTTTCGAAGTCCGTTTGCCGACTGCAGGGTGCATCGGCCCTCTGACCTCACTGTTTGAAGGGGCCTGTTGGCTTCCTTTCTTGTGATGTTTATAGCGACGACCATGGACGTTGTGGTCCAGTAATGGGATGGGTAGTTCAGGAGTTGGCCCTGCCACTTTGTAAAGTTTGTTACTGACATTAGGGGCGGAGAACTTACAGCCATCTCACGTGGCACCTACTGAAACATCCGTGTTCTTAGTTCGGGTGGAAAGTAGGATGTAATAACGAAGAAAAGAAAGGAGGTTGGAAAGAAAACAGGACGGGAAGGAAGAAAGATAAATGAACGAAAGGACAAAGGAAGTACGGAGAGACAGAGTAAAGATGAATTAGATAAAAGAAACATGGTAAGAAAGGGATAAAGGAAAACGCATTGAAGAATTTAAAAAAGAAGGAACAATAATTAAGGAACTTTGACTTCAGCCCTGAAGATGAAGACAGTATGTTCGTCTAGAACGTTGGTATCTACACGGCGTAGCAACCATATTCGGTCATGAGAATGGAAGAAGGAAGACTTTTCGAAACGTTGGCATCTGTCAAGTCCGCGGGTCGCTGCAGATAAAAAGGCCACAATCGACGTTTTTCATCGCCGTGAGGAACGTCAAGTCTCATATGGGCTGATGCTTCAGAGAGATTAAGTGAAAGGGAAATGAAGAAAAGTGTGATCCGTCTCGAGTGGGGGGGGGGGGGGGGGGGGGGAAACAGAGCGCTTTGTGAATCTGTTGTAATGAGCGATCACTTGAATGTTACGTTAATGATTCAAGAAAAAGACGTGGAAATTCAATTTCCTGGACCGTCACGTCCTGTGGCATCCGAGAAGAAATGAACGAAAAATCCCATAGAACAGCTGTCGCTTGTAAGCAAGAACAAGACATCTGAAAATCGCGTCTGTACGAGTCGGGTTTAGCTGCGTTCGAGGGTTTATTCGTCGACGTGTTCCTTAAGATTGCACAGTAAATTGGAGCCAGAGAAACAAAGAATTGCATCACAGTTTAATGTTTCTTAATTTATAATGTGATTAAATTATTATAGGCTTACTCGTTTGTGATTACTTGTGTGTGAAAATGCCAATAACGTCGATAATCGCCGATGCGAGCAGTAAACTCGATTCTGTCGGTTATGTAGTGTGCGCCAATCCCACAGCCGTGTATTCATTCATTTGTTCGACTGTCGTCGTCTCCCGCATAACTTCGTAACCGTTTGCCCGATTTCAGCGAAACTTGGCAGGATCGTAGAGCCGAAAGTGACATGGTCCTCGCGAGATGAGAATGACTTAACGTGATGTTGCCCTGAGCATTGTTCTTGCTACTTACGTTCTCCCCTCAAAGTAAGACACCGCGTTTAACGCCCATAGACCGGGAATGACCTGGGGGAAAAAGTAGCTGTTCTGTACGTATTTATCTTAGGGTTTTATAAATTACGCGGCCTGAGAACAGTTTTCGAAGTGATTAAGAAGAAACATTTTTAAAAAATATAGGCATATTGTTCCTGTAATTTCTTCAGAAACATGGTTTCTCTTTATCAGTGTTGTTCTCACTTGAATTTTCAAAGAATTTTGCTTACTTTTGCATTACGTTATGGCTTCGTTTGTGACTTTAATTCTGGCTAAGTTTACCGACCTGTGAACCAGCGTGTACCGTGCTCCACAGTTTGCGGTCCCTGGCGTTCTGTGCTGTTTGCAAGACGTCCAGACGCAGTGGTGTGTCGCACTGCAGAGTATCAGACGCGGATTGCGCTGTAACAAATCCACAGTTTCCAATTTGAATGATCTTGGAAAGTGGCCACTTCGTAAGACGGCGGGCGGAGTGACGTAGAACCAGTACAAACACGCAGAGTAGCCACGTTTATCCGGAGCACGTATCTTCCAGGCGCGTTTCTCATTGGCCTCCGTCTTCGTCCGTTGTAGACGAAAGCGCGTTGTTTCGAGGCTCATTACGGTGCAGATGTCGTCGTGTGTTGTGCAAAAATTATCTTGCGTCGTATTTCTTCAAGTATTCACCACGGAGATAAATTTTGCAAATTCAAAAATAATGTATCTCTATACGTCGCATAGTCTATTATGATATATGAACTGAATGAAAGTTTTGCTGCCAAATTTACAAATTATAAACTGAACTGTAACTTTTGTAGGGAGTACCCATTGCCCCAAAAAGGGGGAAATGGACCTGTTCGACGGACGAGGATATTTATCAACAGATTATGATCTCTAACTACAGGATGTACCATTTAAAACGCAACCCAACAACAGCCAAGTTCTGCTGTACAGAAATGAAATCAGACGCACCCAGTCTTGTGTTTTACGCGCGAAGGGGTTTATGTTTGTATTAGTTAGAATCTCTTTCTAAATAGAACACCCTGTATATGGGAATATAAAAGTAGGACATAGGTTATCGAACTTAAGGACATTACAACAAATATCGATACATCGAATCTCTGACGTGAGCAGTAACAAATCTTATTCGTATTAACTAGATTTATATATTTTTTTTAAAATAAAACTGCTGTCTCTCCCAATGTTTTTCGTGGTATTACTTGTTACTGATACAAGTCCTCCTCGCTTTTAATAATCCTCGTGACTTAACGCGAGTAGCTTATGGATCGTCTTTGAATATCCCACGATATAAAAATTAACGAAACTGTAAGGCTGCTGCTATTGTTAAATGCTGCTCGTATCTCATCTCATCAACATGGAAGATTAAAGGCATCACTGGATCACAACACGATAAGCAGCTTAGA